CTACTTCCCTTTTGTGCCCCTTCTCTAACTCCTACGTGGCTGTGCGACTTTGCCACGAGAGAGGGATGGGAACCCGGTGCGGCATCTACGGCGAGGCAGGGTCACTCATAAGTACCCCCGAGCAGGGGGAAAGTAAATTGTCTTTTTAAATAGGTGTCGAAGACCCTATACACGACTTTATTACATGTGGTGGGAGGAAAGATCATGGCCATGGTGTCCTCGTCTGAGGAAACCTACTATACATGCCTTTATTACATGTGGGGGGAAGGCCTAGTTTCTCGTAGTTTTCCCCTAAACAGGGGAGACGCCTGGAGGCTGCCAAAATTTTGGATGAACATACGACCGCACTCAGACCATTTTAAACTCAAAAGAATAAGAGACTGGACTCTAATGAACAATGACTTATGGACTTTTGAACTTGATTGAACACGAGCAGGGGACCTATGAAAATGAATTTAAATGAAACCAAACCTAATTAAAATTGAACCAGGGACCTCAATTTCAAATGAACTAAATGCAAGAGAGCTCAAACTTAAATAAATTGAACTCGAATAGGACTTGATTTGCACATCAAACATGATTCACACGTTTGAACTCAAGCAAGAACTTGAGTTGGACTTTAGAAGACTTTGAACAAGTAGGGGACTCGGACAGATTGAAGAGGCTCATTCTGAGTCTGAACTATACTTGGACTAAAAACTTGGACAAATGCAAATAAAAGACCTAATTAAAATTCTATCTAAAGTGATAAGAGATTGAACATTCAAGATTACTAGAGCTTAAACCTCAAGGAACCATGTCTTGAATGTGAAGTCAAAATCAAAACAAGCTTGAGCAATGATATTGAACTGGACTCGGATACAAATGACAAATAACTTGAACTCAGGTCATATCGTAAGAGGCTTGAACAATCAAAATAAAGGATCCTTTGTTATTCAAGCGTCACTTTCTTTCTCTAGTTGAAGATTTGTGACACTCAACATGGTTCATCTACATTCAAGCAATCATGAACATCTGTTACAAACACACAATCAAGATGCAGCTGAATGTACTGAGTCGTACAAGCAATGGGGGTCAAAATGTATGAAAGAATTAGCAATGAGTGGAGTTCATCCAACATTCATCATACACAATGCAACACATTTGAAACCCATACAACAGTCCCTACGAGGTTAAATGCAATGTGCTCACAAGGAAAACAAATTGCTGCATAATGCATATGTCCCCTAAGTGTCCTATTGGAATCTCCAACACAAGCAACTATGTTTGTTGATTGAAGAAGGCAACACTACCACTTGATAGTGGAAAATCCGTCCCTACAAAATACAATCATTAAATCACCTGAGATTGGTGAAAGGTGGATGTGATATAGGAACAATGGGTCTTCTATAAATACTTTCGGGAGGTTGTAGTGAATACAGCGGTCCCCTGCAAATAAATACAAGCCGCTTGTGGATAACAACCTTGGATATATCGTATGTACAATGAACCACTGTGGGCACAAGTATATATATCACCTATGACATTGGTGATTAAGATCTTCAAGTACGAAGATGACTCAATGTACGAAAAAGGATACCCCCTAACATAATGGAAGAAAAATTTGAACAAATCAAATCTAAACTTCCTGGTATTCCAAAGCTTCTTCTTGGTTCTATCCTTAGGAAGAAAACAACTTTGGTATCCACAAATACCGAAAGTAACAACTCTATTCACTAAAGAGCTTGAAAAGAGTCCCTTTCAAGGCAGTGGACATGAATTTCAAGAAAACCCTCCCCAGTGAATGAGAAAGCGGGAAGTCAACATCAAGATGAGGAGATGCCTCATAACATCAAGATCATATAGCCACTGAATCCGTAACATCCATGCAAGCGGATAGAAGGCATCTACAATCTACAACGTCCGCCATCGGATCTGCAACATCCATGCAAGCGGACAGAAGGCATCTACAATCTACAACGACCGCCACCGGATCCATAACACTCATACTAGCAGACAGAAGGCTTATATAGGCTCTTAAATAAAATGTTGTGCATTCAAATGAAAATTATATGCACAACCAAAATATGATAAAATACCTCTGCACGTGCACTATAAATTGTATACACATAGATACACTAAAGGGGAAAAATACAATCACAACCCGCATGGGCCCCGGTGAGCTTGTTATTGGTACATACGTGACGTCTAGGGATGCTGCGCGGGTCGATAAGGGAATTCAAGTTCAAACCCGATCCATCTATACAGATCAAAAGGAGTCGACATGGTTAGAACCTTCAAATAAATACCTGGTTGTCGCGACCAGTGTATTTATTTTAATACATTCATATTAGGCCTTCAAGCGCTATAATCAAGAGAATTCACTAACAAAGACATAAAGCCTATGAAACCCAATCCTCCTAAGCTGGTAAATATGAATGGACATTATATGAATCATCGGGTAAATATGCGGTCATAAAGTTGACCGGTATATTTATTTTATACATTCATATCAGGCTTTCAAAGCCTTTAATAAAGAAAATTCATAAATAAGGGCACAAAGCCTATGAAACTTGATCCCCTATGGGTAAGTTATAGGGTCAACAAGGTTCAACTAAGTGGAAATGACCCCAAACATCCTGATGATGACCGTGTTGATCAAAGATCTCAACTGGAGGGGTTAAGTTCAGACATTCTCAAATGCCACCTCAAATATCCACAAAATCCAAAATTCCAAAAATTCTAAAATATTTAAAATTAAAACTCAATCATCAGCCACTTAAAGCAAAATCCATCCACCCTCCGCAATAACTCACCGAGGTAGACAAATTAAAATTTACTTCAGCTTATGAAGAGCTAAATGCCTAGTCGAAAATATCACTAGGATCCTTTGTCAAACAATCTCCTACCAATATGGACGTGGTACGTGTCCTCTAACCGATGATTTTGCCGCCAAATGGCACCGCAGGATAAATGGTTATGACCCGGGACCCTCTGAATCGAGTGGTTTTGCCGCCAAATGGCACCACAAATTCCGGTTATGGCCAGAGCCAATACGTTCCTTATTAGCATCAAATCCTTGAGATATGAATCAATAAGGTATGATCGATTGGGCACAAAGCCCTCTGTTAGCTAAGGTGGATTCAAATTTTTCCCCTTAGGCAAGCATTCATCGCAGGTCTACAAGGTCCCCTTGGACAAAGCAACCCATGGCTGCCGACAAAGATCCTTCTGTCAGGTTGGGTCGACTACCTCCTCTGACTAAGTAGACCAGGGACCACGATGGCCCGGGACGACGAAACGATGGGATCTTGATCGGGTCTATCATCCAATTCCCCCACCATCCGCTTTAAGTGCAAGATGGTGAAATTTTTATTTTAAATATCAAATCTCCAAATTCCCAAATTCTCCAACTATATCCTATGCCCATTGCTGCTACTATATGAAAGATAACATGTATTCTCTACATATATGATCGACGATTAGCCTTAATCGAAAGTTATTTCTCATTATCGGGAGGGGTAATTAACTATAGGGGCTTGCGCCTATAGGAAACCAGAACTCAGATCATAAAGTCCTCGCAAAATGAGGGCGAAATCTCTGAGTTGTGTCTTATCTACAAACCCATCAGCCTTCCAAAATTTACACAGGAACCTAATCTGTTAAAACTACCTCGCAAAAGAAAAAGCAAATCAGCGGGCGGAGGCCGGGGCCGAATTTTCGGAGCCCACAAATGTATGCATTGAACTCTTAATTCTAGTGAGAGCTATCTTAAATGAACATCTTTTCTTCTTCATATGAAATCCTATGACAAATAAAGCTAAGTGTTATATACCAAATAAGTGAAAGCTTGCTTTACTACGCCTTCACCCATATACTTTGTAGATGCTCGAACTGCTTCAAACTCTGGAACTTAGCCATGCATGCTCTGTGTATGTCACTAATGCCCAGCTAAATCAATAAAAACTTGTACAATCAAACTTAAACCTAAACATACAAACTTAAAGAACCCTTAAAAGAAAAAAGGTAAAGAAATCAGCATTCTTCAATTCAATCAAACCTTTTAAAATCTCTAAAAGTAACTTTGTAAATATTCCTAAAATTCATAACAATCAAATGCATAAGTTGAATCAAACCGTCTATCATAATTTATTTGCCTCATCGAGTTCTAAAGTCTCCTTATTTTTTTTTTCTTTTCAGATAGACACTTTGTACGTAATCTCAATGGTAGATTGAGACTTCATTTGGGGCGGCTTTCTTATTGCTTCTTAAAGCAGCTTTATTGTACAAACATTTTAAATTTTTATACTAGAAAATTGTTTTAAGAAGTAGTAAGAAAGCCATCCCACACGAAATCTGAAAAGTTAGTGTCTTGCTTTGTTCGAGAACAGTTTTATGTTTATTTGTAATTGATTTAATTATCTGACTTCGTATTTAATGTAGTTTTGTTGCTGATTTGAATTTGTAATGATGATTTGACGGATATAATTGTGTTTATGATTTGGATTTTGTAAGCTTACTTTTGAAATTCAAAATATAATTTATTGTTGCATTTAGATGTATGCAATTAATTAAAGTAACTTCATCTTATTGTTGGCGTCAATATTTTGTCCTATTTATGGGCTGTGAAATCATTACATCAATATTAAGTACAATTTTAAAAAATTAGATTAATTAAAATATGACAAGTAAATGAAATTTACAAATACTAACATTGACAAATACTACTAATTAAAAAATCCACAACTTGAAATTCTAAAATCATTCAAAGATAATCTTAGGACGAAGCGATCTAAGCGCAGGCCCAGCCCAGCTCTACTTGTGAAACCCACAAATTACACATGGACAACCAAATGGCATTACTATATTCAGTTTGGAGATTCCAATGAAAATTTTATTATCACTAATATACATCAATATAATTATCTGCACAAAGGTATGGACAAAAACATTAAGGGTCACTCTTACATGCCACAGCCATGGAAATATATCCACTTATAAAATCTCTCTCAGCCATTCATTTCCTTTCCCATAGCGTAGACTTCTTAAACAAAAACAAAAACCGGGTCTCCAATCCATCTCCCACCAAAAGAAAAATCAAACAAGTTTTCCTCTATCTGTAGCTCAACAGAATTTGCAAGAGAGGAGAAGAAGATGGGAAGGAGGTGTTCTCATTGTGGAAACAATGGGCATAACTTAAGAACTTGTAGAAGCTCAAGGAGTATGGTGGGTGGAGCAGGGCTGAGGCTTTTTGGGGTTCAGCTTCAATTAGATTCCTCAGCTCCTATGAATAAAAGCATTAGTTTGGATTCCCTGTGTACTTCAGACTACAGTGCATCTGTCTCATCTTCATCATCATCGTCTACATCTTCGTTTTTCTGTATTGATGAAGCCTCTGAGATGGTCTCTAACGGTTCTCTCTCTGAAAGTTTGATTTGGAAAGTTCAGGAAAAGAAGAAAGGCGAGTAATTTCTGATTATTCTGTAATCAGTAGTCTGTTATTTCCTTTCTGTTGTTTTGGTTATTAGCTTTGGTTCTTTTATCATGACCGTTGCATCATATTGCACTCTTTAGTGGGATTTTTCCATGAAAAAATGAAACTTTTTATCCCGGTCAACCTAAAGTAAGGGAATTTTTTTCAGAAAAATCTAGTAACTCATCTTTATATTAGGACTTTGTTTTCTGGAAATCCTCTGCGCTCGGCATGTTCTTATCGTGAATCCTCTTATGGAGTTTCAGCAACTCGTCTTTAATTGTGGTTATGTTTCATTTAAAACACTCTTTTCTATATGTTATTTTCCATTGCACAATTTTGTGGTTTCAATAAGTCTATCCTTAGCTGTAACAAAATCTTATGGAAAACTTCACTGAAAATAAATAGAGGTAATGGATCAATCAAGCTAACCTCGAATAGACAGTAAGAGTTTATGCTCGTTTCTATGAAGATCTTCAGTTGTTAAGGAAAAATTAGAAGCATATTATAATTCTTCAAAATTTGATTGTTAAGTAAATACTTGAATTATATATATTTGGGATTCAAGATGTATTTATTATACTTGATTTTCTCTGGTTTTCTTTGGGATTCAAAATAGAATTTGGTTAAGACACCATATTACAACCGGACAATAATGCATTCTCATTTTATAACAAAAATTCAACTTCTACTCCCTTTTTTAATTAATATAAGCTGTGGTGAATTTGTGTTCAGGAGTTCCATGGTCTGAGGAAGAGCACAGAGCTTTCCTTGCTGGGTTAGAGAAACTTGGAAAAGGATACTGGTGTGGTATTTCTCGCAATTTTGTAATTACGAGGACTCCAACCCAAGTTGCCAGCCATGCTCAGAAATATTTTCTTAGGCAGAACAGTCCCGACAAGACGAAACGCCGAACTAGCCTCTTTGATGTGGTAAATATCCAAATAAAATTTTTTTTTTTTTTCCAGAGTATGTAACACACCATTATTTAAGAAGCCATACGGTTTTATTAAAATTTATGGCATCCTAATTCCTTCAAAGAATTATTCTACAGTTCCTTTCTAGATTGAGCCATTTTCCTAACACCATTTATTTAATTTTGATGTGTCAATAGAAATTGCAATGCTTTTTTTTTTTTTTTTTTAGGGTAAAGTAGTTCTTTTCGACCTAAACTAGTTTCTAATCGATTTGTTAATTGCCGAACAATAGAAAAACTACCATTTTTTATTATTCCTCGCATTTTTAATGTCATAATTATTTTGAAAAATTTTACTCTGAGTCGTGAGTGCCGACTTTCAAACGCGACTCTCCATATTTTTCATCTGAAACTTGAGAACTCGTCATGACAATGTTATATAACCTTTTAGAAATGACTTTTTTTTATTCAATTTACTTGAGAATTTAGACCTTAATATGACACAAATGAGACAAAGGATTCATGTAGCGGAAGCCATCTTGTGGGATAATAGCTTGATGTTGTTGTAGACATTATTGTTGTTGTATTTGCCCAAATTTCATATTCTATCCATTTACTAATTTTGCTCAAAAAATTTATTTCATCTACATTTGCATTACAAAACCATATGCAGGTTGGCAGTGAAAGGCCAGTTCAGGCGAAAAATTCTTCAAATGTCAAAGATCCTTCACTCCTCAAGGATACTCCAATCTCCAAACAAGCTTTGAACACACTCTCAAGTGGCTTTATAGATCTCAAGTTCCCAGAACAAGAACCAGAATCCGAACAAAAACCAAATCTTCCTCATCGTATTCATTTGCATACAAATTCATCTCATGTTCCTGATCCGGAGCAGAACTGACTCTCTTCCCCGAGGCCTGTACTTTTGAGCAAACCTTTGGCCAGAGATCTCTTTAACGGTGCTTTTACAGTAAGCTGGGAGGCTTAAGCTTCCTTTTAAGTGAAATGGAACAAAGAAAAAGATTTTTTTTTTTTTTTTTTTTTTTTTTTGAGGAGAGGAAATTCTGTGAAGTTTGCTGGTTCAGCCAACTTCCAGTTCCAAACAAGATAGAGAGAAGAAGACGTTTGCTGGAATTTATATTAATTTTTTTAATTGTTATTTTTAGTTTCTTATGTTTCTTATTTTACTTATAAGATACATTGAAATAAAATTATATTAGGTATTTTAAATATAAAACTATATTTGATTTTAGCATTTATCTGCCATGCTACGATCGTGTATGTTATAAGTAATAATAATCCAAATGTCATAACATTGTATGTGGGCCAATCATTTAAATTGTTGTAGAAATCATCCTAAACTACAAATGCATCGATTACTTGAGCCAAAATATAATTTTCAAAATTTACGGGCATTTAACACCTGAAGTTTTATAATAAGTATAAATTCTAACTTTAAAGAAAAAGAGAGGTCAAAGTAGCACATTGCAAAGGGTAAAGTATCATATTAGAATGATTCTTAGCTTCATGACAATTGTTTCGCTCTGCTTGGGTTTAGATAGAAATGCTAGTCACTATGGTTCCTTGTGTTGTTCCTTCCCTCCTAAGACCCCCATCCCCACCGCAAGGCTTCCTTTGCGCCTCACTTACTTAATTGGAAAGGCCTTCTCTTTGACATAAATCCATCTTCCAAATTGTTTCTCTTCTCCTAATAACCTCCACCTCAACCTCCCATAACTCCAACATATTGCTACATTCCAGAAAGAACCGCCCCACACACACACATTACTATTTCTCATGTTATTTTGTACATTGGCTCGTCTCCTTTTTGCCAAATCTCAATAGTTTATAATGCTAAATCCCATGGTGATAGGAAGGTTCACTAGCAATATATTTTCTCTCTTCCTGGAAATAGTGATTTGCCTTGGGTTATGTTTAGAGATTTTAATAGTAATAGATTTAGCCATGAGAAAGCAAGTAGGAATTTCATCCATAATAGTAGGCTGGGTGATTTCATTAATATGATCTTCAATATATGTTTACATGATATAGTTTCTATTGGTCTTTTCTTTACCTGGCTTAATCCGAGAAGTTATTTTCCCATCCATATTAAGATAGATAGAGTGATGGTGAATGACCGTTGTCTGGAGCTTTTTTCTCTGTTCTTACTAAAAAATTTCTGATCTTAGAATCATTGATCATTACCCATTGGTGTTGTTATGCAACACTTCTATTAGTTTAAAAAATGGATTTTTATTTAAAAAATTATTAGCTTAATCATCCTACTTTTGGGATTTTTTCATTCCTGCCAAGGCCTTCTATTGCAGAGGAAGCAACATTTTTTCGGTCCGGTATTTCCGGACTTGACAAGACGTCAGAGACGGTCACACTATGACGCTGACGAGATGAGGTCATGCGAGATATTCCCAGTTTAACCTGGGTTGATTTTGAGTATTTGATTCAATCCAAACCTAACCAGATTTAATAAACCGGTCGAAATCTCGAACCAAACCTGGACCGTATGGAAAAAGAGTTTGACCCGAACCAGGAATTTTCTAGTTCAGCTTTGGTCAGGTTTCGGGTCAGGTCGGATTTTCATACCCCTAAATAACTTTTGAGGATTTCATGAACCGCACCAAAAGCTTTAGAATTTTCCTTACGCGAAAATCTTTGGCATCTCTGCACCTAATTAAATTTCATATATATATATATATATAATATATATTACAAAAAAATTTTAAGAACTTAATATGGGTGGAAAAGGTTGGGATGGTGGTTGGAAGATAACAGATCCACCAATAGCCTGGAGTTTGGTAGCTCGAAAGTTGAGAAGAAAAAAAAACATAGATATTTAATTTGCGGTTAAGTTTTAAATTTTGGAGGTTTTAATATATAATTAGTACTTTAAAGCCCACCTACTAAACTAATATGAGAGTTTACTTTCAAAATTTAGGAGCCATTTGTTTTGAAGTAAGATGGGTGTAATGTATTTCAAATATATAGGTTTCGACAATATTGACGCTTAGTTTGAAATAAACGAAATAAAAAATATTTTTTTTGTTAATTTTTAGTTCAGCATCTAGTTTATTTTTGGTGTATTTAGAATTCCTCGTATTTGGGCAATTTTCAAATAAATCATAAATTCATTTCATTGATGTTACCTGCCACCAGCAACCACATCTGTCGGCCGTCACCGCCAATGGCTACAACCGCCATTGTCGGCTCTTGACCACCATGCTTTTTAAACTTTAGATTGTATTGATTTTACTTCAAGACAAATAGAAAAGAGGAATCTATTGCATATTTTTTAAACTCATTCAAACAACTTCAAAATGTTCATTTTAAACTACATTTTCTTTATATTGCATTATTTTTAAATTGCATTCCTCAAGTTAAAATTGATATTATTGAGTCATTGGGAATCTTACAAGGATAACATTTATGTTAAACATAGAACGAAATTGACAAAGGAAAAATCAAAGGCACTTCTTAATAGGGGTGTCATGAAATGACTCGACCCACCTACCCGATGTGAAAAATTTGCGTATGATTTGCCCATCTAATAACTGGGGTATGTTCGGGTAATGCATTTTGACCCACTTATTGAAACGGTCAGGTTTTGGTTGACACCCTAACTAGATTTTCACACAAAAATGACTAGTTCAATATATTTTTTTCTTAAATTATTTTATTTAATAGTATAATCTTCTTACTTATAATTAATTAACCTAAAATTATGATTAAATAAGCTAAAACAAAATGTTTTAATTAAAACATGTTATTGTGTTAGGTTGGAGTTGATAGTCTGTCAAGTTTGGGCTAAAATTTTTACATGTTTAATAAACAGGTCAGGTTCGAGTTAATCAAATTTATGACCGATAAATTTCTATGTCAAATCCAAATTTTACCTTTTAACCTCTTTTAACATGCGTAGACATAATTTATTGGATTGTAATACTTGTTTTCCAATTTTTTTTTTTTTTTTAAAAAAAGACTTTTCTTTCAATGATAAAAAATAATTATATGATAAATTAGGAAGGGATGTCTTTTATTCTAACGGAGCTGTGAAATGTACGTCACGTGAAGATTCGATAGGGAATATTTCGAATCGTATATTTCTTATTATAATTGCAACTCGATAGCGATTAAATTATGATAACAGCAATTTAAAGAATTTATAAACCAGGAGCATGTATTATTTATCAAATATTCAACAGATCTACTAAAAAAAAAAAAAATTCAACAAGTTGCGTGGTCCTATTTCCTTTGATATAGTTGTGATGATGCACATTTTTATTAATTATTTCTTAAACTTGTTCATTTACTTATAGAATAATACCAAAAAGTACTAACATATTATTTATTTTTCATAATTTTATCATAATAAAAAGTATGCCAAATAAAATAAAATTTTCAAGCACTATCATTATATGATTTTCCTTGAATGAAAAGCAATGTTCAATGATACTAAACTAATCCTTAGTTTTAAAGCTGTGTATGCTACCATTTATATTGGATTCTTTTTAATAAAAAGGCAAGAATTATCACGCCGCCAAGCATTCTTTCCGAGGTGACAGGGGTGGATACCCCTTTCCAAAGAAAAATCTAGAAAGTTTGAATTATGTTGAGCCTAAATCAAATATGGTACAACCCTAATTATTCAGAACAACAAATAAGCTATACTAATCAAATTGACTGAATAGGATAGAAAGTCAAACTTCAAGCCTTATTCACGAGCTTCCACAAGGCTACGTAAATTTCTTTTCCCTAAATAGTTTTCATATCTGTTATAACGGTGTGTCTATCTGAGAATCATTTGTATATTATGTTCTATAAAAATTCCAACAAAGTAGTCAAGGGATGAGAGTCTGAACTATTGGAAAAACTATTGAAGCTCTTTGAAATATCAGTTATCATCAAGTTATACTAGGTAAGGCAGGTTTATCCTGCCTCTTAAGTAAAACTTTACTTATTTGATTGCTAATTTTGGTCAGGTTCTTTACCTATATTTTGCCAAAATTCTGACTAAAGTCAACAATGTTCTATGCTTTGAAGCTAAATGATATTCCCTATGACATTTTTTTAATTAGACAATAATATTCATTCACTACCAAAAAATAAGGTATTCACAGCACATATTTTGAGCTATCGCACCGGTTTTAACAGCCACAATTTTCTTTGCAGCGGTTCTTAAACCGCTACGAATACGCTGTAATTACTATGCACTACAACGACATTCCGTAGCGGTTTTACGACTGGCAGGGTAGCAGTTGGGAATCGCTTGTTTTTGCAGCGATTATAACCGGTACAAATAACCAGATTTGTGCCAGTTTAAACCGCTGCAAAGTCGTCCAATCTAAACGTGTTTTAATAATTGTGGCGGTTTTAACCGGTACAAATCTGGAACTTCGTACAAGTTAAAACTGCCACAATAGGACAATTTTTTTTTTTAATTTTGAAACCCAATTGTCTACAATGCAGCACAAATCTGGAATTGTTTCAAGATTAACTCATTGATTTTTTCGAGAGTCTTCACCAGTTTCTTTGAAATAATTGATCAATCTATGGCCATCTTATGACTACCAAAACAATTAACAAAATTTCTACAATCACATGTAAATGTCCAGAATCAAAACTTTTGAAACAATTGATCTTGAAATCTTTAAATGAATTGGTAAGAAATATGGGATAATGAGCGTCAAGATTGGAGGAAGAAGAGCCAATAATTGGTGTGTAAGAATAATCATAAAGGAATTATCTACAGTTACTTCCAATTTAGGACCAAATGATGGAATCTGCCAAGAGCAAGAGAAGCGCCCTAAAACTTATGAAAATAAAATATAATGTTTCTTCATTTATTGTACATTACCAAGAAAAAAATTAGTTAATGATCTCCCACTTGTTAAATTCAAATTTTAAGAAAGTCCACAAATTAATGACAGTTACCGAAACACTCATATTTCTTTGAAATCTATAATAATAAAATCATAGAATAACAAGCAAAATTACTTTTAACTAAACCATATTAACAAAAATTTTCCCAAATGTAGTCCATAGTATCATAGAAATAGAGGCAAGTTCATGCAAAAATAGCTGCAAAAGAGAACAGTTTTTTTTTCAGGGATGCTAATTGGTATACCACCCAAAAGTGGAAACATTTTATAGCAACCAAACAGCCCCTAAGAGCAAACAGAATTCAATAAAAGCAAAAATCACCAGAAGTAAGCAAGGGTAAAACATTCATCATTCATATATGGTAAAACTTGATAATCTCAAAAAGAGTAGAACATTCATCATTCATATATGGTAATATACAATATCATATTTTTAAGCAACATTCCAAAATATTAGACTTCCATACCAAGATGCATTTAAAAATAATTTGCACAAACATGGGTTATCTTCAAAACGACATTCTCTTTCTTCTATAACATCATCTTTCGAAACAAGTTTCATTGCCACCCTATAAATTATAAGAAGATTGTAAAATATTAGTATTCAAGTAACCAACATTAAAATTAGAATGTGAAAATTTACATACCATTTGTTAGCTTCTATGAGGTGGATGCTGCATTCAAATTTCTTGTATGAATTGCCTCATTTCAGTAGGTAATGAGTTCACATCCTCTTTGAGATTTACTATTTGACTTAAATTGCTTCTACAGCTGCTCGTGCCATTATTTATGCTATGAGGGAAATATCGTGTAGGTGTGACACCAAAACCTTGGGTTCTAACTCTGCCTGGGTGTTCAGGTCCCATTACCATACTGAACACCCTTTCATTAGCCTCCACATTCCCATCCTCTGGTGTAAGTCCATCTTTAGCCAAAAGCTCGCAAGCTTGTATCTATGTTATAATAAATTTAGTTAATTTTATTTTAAATAAACAAAATATAATAAAGAATTACATATAAAATTATTATAGCTAGACTGAAATTACCCATCTCTGATTAGCATCTTCAGATGACCAGGTGCCATCTTTATGCAATATGTTAACTCTACATAATAATAATCTATCCTTGATAGCCTATATCAACAAATTTCATCATTAGGAAATTAATTAATAAATGTGAACATAAAATTTATATAAATTGTAATATATACCATCACTTGTTGCCTTCGAACAGAACTCACACGCTCCATAGTGTGAGGACAAGTCTGTTTCTTTGCATTTGCAGCATTTATGGCAACCCACTCCTGTTACATATGAATCTAACTCTAAGTTGATTTGTTATAAAAGTTTTAATTAAATATAATGATGGTACTAACCTTATCTTTTGGTTGTGACCACTGGGTTTCTAGATGACACCACTGTGTTGCATCAACACTAGCTGGAATAGACTCCATAATTTCCTCAATAGGATGGCTGTCCCAATGCTCAGCTTTTAAATTAGTCTTATGGTTACACCACTTAACTCCAAGGGATTGAAGAATCCAATGACGTATATGTCCAGGAAATGCAAACTTTGACTGCAATATAAACAAATATTTTCTTAATCATAACATAAACCTTAATATTGAAACTTTATTTAATATTTTACTTACCCTCCACTTCGGCTAACATTTTTTCTTAAAGGGCTCCAGACCCTTATTTCTCCAATCTGGAAAGGATAAGGGTGCCAGTACAGGATCTCTTGCAATGACACCTATATATGATCCTAATAGGATAGACTCTGAAATATTGCTTGGCATATTATTCTCATTCACCTCTATATGAACACGTGTACCTGGCGGCATATTTTGTATGTCAATGCATGTGGTGCACCCCCTACGACATACAAGTACACCTTGCTCATCTGTGCATAACATATTTCATAAGAATAATTACACAGTTACTTGTACTTATTCAAAGAAAAGATTAAAATCAAACCTATGAGCAATATCCCATCATTTGGAGTCTGAATCTGCTCACAAGTAGAATGACGTGGTGATTGTTGAGTGCTGCTGCACTCATTCTCCTCTTGACTTTTGTCACAAGTAGAACCTGGGTGAATTGGAGTAGGAGTTTCAAATCCTCTACTAGACCCACCTCTTGATACAACCTTCTTAGCTCGCCTGTATGTATTTCTTCTTGTCATTTCCTGAAAATGTAGTATAATATCAAAACTCACAAAAGAGCCAAAGCATTCGATTTGAACTATAAAACAAATATAGAAATAGTGTTTAATTAGAACATACTCATTAACGAGACAAAAATATAGAAAACATTTTCTTGTTAGAGACAAAAAATTTTCACTTCATTTGGTTCGAAATGCATCAAACTAAAGATCTAACTCCAATATGCAATCTATCTGGAGAGGAGTTTTAACATAATCATGAATCCACTAATAGCACCTTTCCATCTACATTTACCCAGCAATATGAGGAAAACAACTTTCAATCTACAATAATCCAATAATTTGTGGATGCTAGCTCATGTAATCCATGGACAATAATTTTTCATCAATAGCGATCCAATAATACATGGAAAGCAACTTTCCACCAAGATAATGCATTGAAAAATGAATCCATCACAAGTAAACAATTTCTAGAGTTTAGCAGAGATATTAAAATATTTAAAACTTTTATAAGCTATACATCATACCTTCCCCAAAATCACATAAACAATAATTATATATAAAGAATCTGCTAACCTCTTGTAATCTTTAATTGGATATATTGAAGCAAGGATGTGCTATTCAATCTAATCAACATACCCCAGACAAGCATTTCAGAATATATTAAGTAATTTCCAATAACACATAGATAATTCATTAGTTGTGGTAGATGGAGAAAACTACTTCATGTTGTCATGTAGGAAAATACTAGAAAATATTTGGATGTAGAATTGGATATAACAAAGAATGAAATATTAGAAAACATTAAAGTATCCCAACTTACATTTATTTACTTCGAGAAATACTTGAATCATATACATCTCTAGGCTTCATATGAACAACAAAATTCCAATTTGTATTTTTAGGATATTGAATGTAGTAGACTGGTTTAACTTGCGAAGAGAAAATAAATGGATCATCTTCTAATTTATCACCAATCTGAATAAGACGTGAAAAATTCACCAAAGTGTAACCAAACTGATCTTGCTTTACATCGATGCCAGTTTTGTTCGCCCAATCACAATTGAATAGCATCACTTTGAACTTATCTGAATAATTTATCTCAATAATATCATTAATTTTCCCATGATAATTGAAGCCTCCAATTTATGTGCTATTAACAACACCATAATTCTGAGTTATTCTTATTCTCATCTCTGGTTTTTATATGAAAGGTATATCCATTAATAAAAAAACCTTTATATGTATGTGCAATTTTATTGGGCCCCTTGGCCAGGACCTTAATTTCTTCTGTTACTTCTGGACCACCATCACCCATAACCTAAAAATAATTATTAGCCTTTACACAAGAGTAAATATTTAATATTAAATAAAAACATCAAGCTTAAAGCTTATTGTTATTCTCAACCATTCATGAAATTTTTCGGTAATAAGTTTCTCGACATCCCAAGTTGTAAGATGTGTGTGCGTGCGCCTCTTTCTTTCTCACTATCTTTGAAATTTTCTCTTAATGGTATAAGACTATCACAATGATGTAGCACATATCTATGTGTTTGGGTTAATGATTTCTCATCTAGTACAAGAGAAGAGACCTTCCCTAATGAAATACCACCACTAGAGAACATAAACGCATCTTCCTTTGCAAGTGATAATCCATTTGCTCTGATATTTTGGCTATATCACCCAAATATTTGGAACAAAATGAAATCCCTTCCTCAGCAATAAATCCCTCCGCAATGGAACCCTCGGGTTGTGCTTTATTTCCAACATAGTCCGTTAAAATCAGGAAGAATCTGCAAATGATATAAACTTTTAAAATGTTTATGATATGAATGACTATATAGTGATAATAAGTTATATGTTACCTTTCAAATGGATACATCAATCGATATTAAACAGGACCCCTTAGTTTAACTTCCTCTGCTAAGTGTACAAGAAGATGAATCATGATCGTGAAGAATGATGGAATGAATATTTTTTCCATATTGCATAAAGTCATAACGATATTATTTTGTAACATCTCCAACTCGGTGGGAATGATAACCTTTGCACAAATTATTTTTAGAAAATGAGATATCTCCACCACAATGCGCATAACTTCGTCTGAAGGTGCACATGAGTAAAGCACAATGGGTAGAATGTCTTCTAATAGAACATGACAGTCATGACTTTTTAAACCCATAATTTTACAATCAACAACATTGACACATCTTTATATGTTTGATGCATAGCCTTTAGTGAATTTCAAAATTTTCAGAATTTCACAAAACATCACTTTGCCTTTCTTTAACATTGTGAAAGGAGATGGTGGCAATGAGTAGCTACCATCCTCTAAAATTTGTGGATGAAAATCATTTTTTATTCCAATGTCAACCAAATCTTGTCTTGCTTGTAAGTTATCTTTTGATTTTTCCAGATCAAGCAAAGTTCCAATAAAATTATCACAAATATTTTTCTCAATATGCATAACATCTACGTTATGTGGAAATAAATTATGCTCCCAATAAGGTAGGTTAAATAAATTGATTTTTTCTTCCATCCTTCAATCCCTTGTACAACACGTCCCCTTTTTAAACTAGTTTTACTTAAGCAGGCAATGGGAAATTCTATATTATGTAGCTGTGATAGAACTTCAATGACAGTTCTCCTTTTAGCTTCTCTTCGGACTTCCTCTATGTTATCTAACCATAAGGATTTTGTATTTTGCGCATAATAAGGACAAGAAAATCTCCTTTTAGTACTCCACCCAGACAACATGCTATATGCTGGGAAATCATTAATGGTCCATAGTAATGCAGTTCGCATGTTGAAAGTTTGCCCACTTACTACATCATAACATTGAACTCCATGCCATAATTTACTTAACTCTTGAATAAAAGGTTGAAGATAAATATCTATAGCATTTCCTGGACTTTTCTCCCAAGGTATTATAGTTGATAGGATAAAAGAATCATGTTTCAACCCAACCTAGGGTGGCATATTATATGGAACTAGAAGCACTAGCCAAATACTATATGTACTACTCATAATCTTGAATGGATTAAACCCATCACTAGACAAACCAAGGCGAACATTACGTGGATCCAAAGCAAAATTAGGAAATTGAGAGTCAAAAGCTTTCCACGCTTCTCCATCAGATGGATGTCATAACAATCCATCTACATTTCTGTGTTTAGAATGCCAAATCATCTCCTCAGCAAATTTCTTTGTTTTAAAAAATCTTTGAAGTCTAGGAATTAATGAAAAATATCTGATAATCTTAGCTGACTTCATACGAGTTCTTTTTCCTTCAAAAGTATTCTTTATCATAGTTGACCATCTTGATGCTCCACATATGTGACATATATTCTGATCAGATCGATCTTTCTAAAACAGCATACAATCATTATGGCATGCATCTATCTTTGTATATCCAAATCAAATGCTTTCATTATCTTCTTCACTTTATATGTACTTTTAGGAAATAAGACCCCTTTAGGAAAGGCATCGACCAGTAACTCAAGTATCATATCAAAGGATCTTGCCGTCCAAGAATGCAAACACTTCAAACAAAATAACTTCAATATAAAAGAGAGTTTTGAGAAGGTTTTACATCCAGGGTACAACTCTTCTCCTGCATTAAATTATTAAATTTCTCACCATGATCATCTTCTTTATTGGTATTGAACTCATTCTACTCCATTGCTGGATTTTGAACTGGATCATTTGGACATAATATGTCTCTTAATAATCCATCTATATCATCTATTCTTATATCTTTAGAAGGAACTTCGCCTTTATTTAACTTTGGTGTGCCTCTAGATGCTTCATTCATTGCATATTCACCTATATTACAACGTTCTTCCCCATGTCAATTCCATACAACATATCCAGGAAAAAATCCTTTAGAAATTAAATGGTCTTTCACATCTTTCATCAAATGGAAGTACCTATTAATGCATGACTTGCACGGGCATAAAATTTTCCCTGACAAATTCTTGCTTCGACATGCAAACTCTATGAAATTGTTTACACCATTTACATAATCACAGTTCCACTTGGCTTTTGTAATCCAACTCTTATCCATATTAAGTTAAAAATGAGTTTCTAAGTCACTGCTAAGAATAAAGATTCATTAGGTCAGTAAAAAAATTAATTCATAAATCACTATAGTCTCTATTTATTTTTATCTTGAAGGAATTATGAATTTCAAATGGAATTAGCATATCTATGTTTTTTTTGGGTGCTTGTAGCATGAATCATTATCTAAAAAAAATCCATTTATTCTTATGTTCTAAAATTACTATTTTTTCACAAAAACAGTTCTAAATCCCTTAATAAATAATCATCCAATATACCTAGCTATGTTACAGAAGTTTATGACGTGTTTATATTTGATGAACTGCTTTAGAAATCCATAAAATCAACATATCTTTGCCATATTTTCTGAAATCATATTAGATTGAAGAAATTCAGCTTGTCCGAGAAGTTAACGTGATCGATCAATATGACCGATCACATCTTTTATATTCTTTTTAATATAAATAATATTAACACTATATTGATATCTGTGTGGATATCAAAATCCTTTTCTCTTTTTAAAACATCTATTAGTTATGGTTGCTCCAACTTCACCAACTCCTAGGCTTTATTTATTTATTTTATTCGCGCTTCTTTATTACTGTTATGCCTTATTATTAT